ACTTTCAAACATTAAAAAATTAAAAATGCATTACTAGGTTGTTCAGTCCCATAAGACTTTGCACAAGGTTACATGGCTAGTTGCTCAATGATCAGATTCGTTATAGATAAATATTACCATCTTCATTTTGATTCCACTATTCAAGCAGAGACTAGATAAGTTTCCTATCCTTTTAAGTTATGTAATAGACCAAAGAAATTGACCAACTGGAATTACTGCTATTGAGAGCGACCATGGCAAAAACCTGTTGAAACCGACTGACATAACCCTTTGCTTGATGTTAGTGAATAAAAGACCCATCGGCTAACAGACTACAATATTCATTACATACACATTCATTATGTAGTCAAATAGATACAGATTCATAATATAGTCATCAAAACAAACATAGTCGAATTCAAAACCATTCCCACAATCAGTCGAAAATGACACCAAAAAATAGAGTTAATTAAAATCAATACCTAGAAGTTCCAGATCTGCCATGGAGTAAGGCTATCTCAGCATCTTTCAGAACCTGCAAATTCAAAATGTCTTAATCAAGTATATAAAAAGAAAAATCAGGTAAGTAAATACAATAGCTCTGAAGGTTAATATCATAATCCCCTGTTTGTTGTAGAAGCCCTTTGCAAGGTTTGTGCTTTCTTGTGCTTCTTTGGATTAGGACGTATGGAAGTTCTCGTCGGGGAAATTTTAGATGGAAGCTAGTTGGAAATTAACAGCATCATATCAAGCAAATTGATTAGAGCATACAAAAGCTAGCTGGAAATAAAATTAACTATAAAGGGAAGATTAGGAGAAAAATCGGAAGAGACTCAAACAAATAAACCATTTGCCACTTCCAGTACCATAGCAATTTGACAACATATCAAAGTACAACCAATGCCAGTTCATTTGCTTTCTAAGAAACCCCCTTCTCTTTCTAGATTGTAAGTTCATCAATACATTATACATACTACTACCAGTACCAATTCATGCTTTATTTCCTAAACTAAATTACTTTACCAGTTCAACTTCCTTAAAGAATCATTGCCTACTGTACAAATACGAAAACCCACTCGTTGTACAATCAACCTGAATTGTACAAATGCGTTCATAGTGACAAGTCACAAATATGAACAATCAACCTGAATTGTACAATCAACGAGAAATATGAACAAATTTGAACAAAATGGAATAACAGCCTTCCAATTAATTATTGTGCCATGAAATAGCTGAATAACAGCTTTCCAAAGCCAAATATACCATTGGTTAATACATTAATTGGTACATATACAACTCAATACTTGTTAATTCATAAAAACAGCCAATCACCTTCCAGTATAAACCTATTCGAAGTGACAGCAGGTCACTTCCCATTCGAAGCAAAAATGGGTATGTTTGAATCTGAATCAGATCAAATCCCCTTTTGATTACCCAAAAGAGAAAAACGCTCAGTTCCCTTGTGTTTCAAACGAACCCTAACCCTAACCCTAACCCTAAAATTAATCACAAATTATTAACTAAATTAACCAATACAAGTTCTAAATTGTTACCATTTTACCTGGAACGAAGTGGAGAGGAAAGAATCCCATTATACAAGGGGAACTCGGGATGAGATGAGAGTTGAGGCCGACTGATTTGTAGATTCTGTGTGAAGGAGATGGATTTGCAGAGTTTGAGGATTTGTGAACTCGACTGAAGACTTGAGTTGAGACCCACCGATTCGCAGTGTGTGTGAAATTTGAAGGGGAAAGATTTGCAAATTCTGTTTCTGCGTGAGATGTGAACTCCGACTTGAGAATTGAGATAAGAGGCGAGAGAGACACAGAGAGGGAAACAGAAAAATTTGGCAAAAATAGAGAGAGAGAGAGAGAGAGAGAGAGAAAGAGAGAGAGAGAGAGAGCCTGGGGTTGAAGAGAGGCTCGGAATGGGAGAGCCAGAGAGAGAGGAGAGGCGGAGGAATTGAGGAGAGGCTGGGTTGAAAGGGGAAACAGAGAGGCAGAATGAAGGAATGAGGATAGAGAGGCGTGAAGATTGAAAAAAATGGTTTCTTATTTTGTTTAAAATATTATTTTAAACAAAGGGCACAAAAAATCTACTTTTACTTTAAATATATTAAATTATAGGACACAATTATATTTATGGTGTCATTGCAAATTAATAAAAAAAATTCCATTGCTGACATTAACGGCACAAAAGTCATGGTTCTGTGCCCAATAATGTGTTTGTGTCCACTTTTCTTGACATTGCGCACAAGTCATGGTGGCCATTACCAAATGAGCACTGTTCCACCTTATTGGTGTTTAAACAAACACAAACACCTCATTCGTGTCCCTAATTTTGTGCCCAAAGGCCATTTTTCTTGTAGTGTTATGCAATGCATAATTATCACCAAAACATTACCTTGCACACCAATTTCTTGAAGAGTATTCCGAATAAAACTCCATCGAAGCTTATCGTAAGCTTTTGCTAGATCAATTTTCAAAGCTAAGAAGCTTTTTTTTCCTTACGCTATCCGGAAGTGTGTAGGACTTGAGCAATCACTATATTATTGGTGATATGCGTCCCTGTTAAGAAACTCACTTGACAAGGACTAACAATCTTGGTTAAGATGGGCCTCAACCGGTCAACCAAAATTTTTGTCACCATCTTATAAATAGTATTGCAAGGACTGATAGGGCGAAATTGTGAAATAAGCCTCAGGCTGTCAACTTTAGGAATTAAGACCTGAACCTCAATTGTTTATCTAAATAATAACCACAATTACGCTTGCGCCACTTTAGACCGTAGTTCAAAATTGATCCAGTTGAGCACAAATCTTTGATAAATTTTTCAGACCCTTTACCGATATTATTCCAAACTTGACCCTTATTAATAATATATTAATAGTAAATATCCGACATATAAACTATAACATTTTCCAATCTCATCATTGGATTCAACTGAATGCCCTATTTACCTTGGCAATTCCATGCATTAGTTTCTGTTGATGCCAAAATTTGACACTTTCAAATACAAGACAAGTGGCTGGGCCAAACGGGCTTGGGATCTTTGAATCTTTGGTTGAAATAAGTTTGTTGGTTTTGGTGTTAGTTTCTTTTATCTCCCTCCTTTTTTTTTTCCTGGGTCTGGAAATCGTTTTCTTTTATCTGATTCTAATTTCTGAGACATGTCCTTCTTGTTGTTTACTATCTGCAGTATAGCTGCCCTTTGCTGCTGCTTCTTGGCACAGGAGCCGTCACCTTTTGTATACATATATAATTCTGGTTTTGTCATTGGATTTTGTTATTTCTCTGCAGTTGGTTTCTTAAGATTAGAATTCTATCAATTTTGTACATATATTGTATAACTTTTAACTCGTTGAAGTAGTTCGTGAAATTGTAATATTTATTAAGTTCATAAATTTTTAGAATGGTTATTTTTTTAATATATCATTTCAAAGTTAATCTCATTATGTGAGAGATTTTTTTACTGTACCAGAGCACCGTGGTATAATAACTTTACTAGTTTTATAAAAATGTATTCGTTGTAGCCCTATTTAACTGAAGAATTATAAAGAGAGAGGGTACAATAACGCAGAGAGAAATTTAATGAATTATGAGATGTGTCTGATCTCAATCCATTTTGTCATTATGTAAATTCTTTACCCTTTAGGTATTACAACAAAAATAAGACACTATCTCAAAGAAACTATAGAATCTCAACAATCACATTCCTAACTAAATTAGGACGGCAACACATAATACTTTCTCTAATTTTTACTAAATTGATATCATTTCATTCTATAATTGTCAATGTTTTAAAAAAAAAGCGCCCTGAGGCACGCCTAGGCGGCTTCGAAGGCGGGGCGTCGATGAAATCACCTCTGCCCAATGAGAGAAGGCGAAAACTCGCCTAGACGTGATCGAGGCTTGCCTAAGGCGGTCAATTAGGCATCGTTTTTGTGTAAGAGCTGCTGGAATTTGAAAATTTTCGGTTGAATATGGAAGTTACAGACGCAGCAATGCTGCTTGAAAAAGTTGAATAGCACGGCGTCGTTTGATGTGCTTTTCATTTGCTTACTTTTTATTTTTTTTAATATTATTTTTTTGGTTGATTCTTTTTCTCTTTAAAGTGACTTTCAGCCGTCCAGCATCCCAACTTCCAACTTCCAGCATCCCAACGCATATTCTTCCAACATATTTATAAAATTTAATATTATTTTTTAGATTTCTAAAGACTCATTTCTATAAAAATATGCTATAACTTTATATTCCTTAATAAGTAAGTGGCCAGCAAGAAAAATAAGTATTTATTTGTTTTTGTTTTTGTGTAATGCTATATTTTTTTTTTCTTTCTTAAAAATTTATTCTTGTTTTTTCTTCTACGACTTTTAAGTATTCCACCAAAATATTATATAATATATGTAATTATATATAGTTTATACTAAAAATCTTAAGTCTCGTGAGGCTTCGCCTCACCCTCAAAGCTTTCGCCTAGGCAGGCCTATCCGTAGAACGCCTCGTCTACGCCTTCGTCTTTTAATACATTGATAATTGTCATATTAATTTGAACTATTTTTCTTTATCAAATGATCCCAAGATCATTTCTAAATTAAAAAAAATATATTTTTTTTTTTTAAAAGGACTAACTGCGAGTTTTGTCACGGCAATCCACTATTTGAGAGACCAAAAAGACAACATTTCATCCTCCATTTTGAAGACTCGTTATTTTATATGAATTCAAAACAATAAAATCATGGTTATTTGTTACAGTTAATTTCCTCGAACATATAAATTGGGCAACAATGTGAAGGAGCAACGAGCAAGGATGTCTTCCTAAGGAAAGATGTTTTATTATGTTCTAAACACGAGTAATATTTCACGTAACAACAAAAATTTATTTTTAAGTTGTTTATTTTTTTTTTTTAACACCATCCCACCATCTATGTGATCCGATCACACAGAAAAGATCTCTCCTTTTTAAGGATGGGGAAGATATTATCCAAGTCAAAAGACATGGATGTGGATGACATGATATTTAGGGGAAAAGTGCACTTTGTCACGTTTATTTCCGCTGTAAATTGGGTCAGCTGCCAGTTGCGATCCTTCCAAAAAGGGTAATGCATGGAGGATGACAGTTGGAGAGCTATGCCTTCGCAAAGTGTCAATCTTTTTTTCAACCGACTCATTACCGACGGATGATGTAGTAGTGCTGAATATTGATGGCGCTGTTGGTTTATTCTAGTCATCTTCTACGATTGGATTAAGCAAAGACAATGAGTTACAACGTTTGTCCATGTTCAACATGAGCAGCATCATCCTCCACCAGGCAAGTCACCTGCCAATCCCAAATTAATTTTCCCCCCATTTGTTTGTTTGATTTAATTGATTTATTTGCCTGGTTTGTTTGGTTTAGTTGAAATAAATTATTAATTGTTTCAATTTTTAAAAATTCTTTGGTGGTGGTGGGACAATGGAATTTCAGGGTATCCGCTGGAGTATTCTCCGCCTAATGACTTTCCACCTCCACCGCCACGCCCGGGATTCCCAGATCCCTATCCTCCTGGTCCAGGACCTTTTCCGCCTCCCCATCATCATGAAAATGGATATCAGGGTTACTTCTATGAAGGCTACCAATCGCCACTTTCAGCTGCCCCGCCTCCTCTTCGCCGATACCACGAATACGATGGCTGCTCTTCCCTCCTTAATGGCCTGTGAGTCTTTTCATCCATATCTTTGGTTTTATGGCGCCCAATTTACTTTCTACTAATCACGCATCAAATTGGTTACATCTTTTGTGCTTCAACTGCATAAATTAGTGTTCTCTCGCATATCTATCACTCCGATTGATTTTTAGTTGTGAAATTTCTTTGGTGCCCCTTAACAAAAGTAAACCGTATTTTTCTCTAAAATAATATTGAGTTTGAGTTTTTCTAGCGTTGATCATTGGATTATTTCAACCGAATGCCTTGTTGCCCTTGAGAATTTGATGCATTACTTTGAATGATTGAAATAAAAGTATTGGTTTTCTTTTATGATTGATGTCGTCCCCTCTTGTTGTTTACTATTTTTTGCAGTTGTGCGGCACTTTGTGTGTGTGTGTAATTGTGCTTCTGAAGCCAAACATGAAACACCTGCAGCTTCTCTGTATGATTAGATTCAGTTTCACTCCAATTCCATGAATTTCTATGTTAAGCTTTTTGTTGTTAAACGTTCAACCTCAATAATATTCCAAGAAGTACATTCAGTTATTGCTTAACATTTTTTTTGTATATTGGTAAGGAATTGTTAATTGAACTTGGAGGGTATTTAAATTGGGGGAAAAGGAAAGGCACTGCAAACTCCCACAGCCCCAGAGAGTAGCTGACGGACTAAACAATGACAACATACTTGAGAAGCTTTTTTTTTTTTTTGGGAAACTACATACTTGAGAAGTTTGTGCATCTTCTATGCTTGTTGGAAAGCCCTTCAAGTTAGCCCAAGCGACAAGGGAGATGGACAAATGTGGAAGATTAAAATAAGTTTTAGGATTTGATTCCATTCATGACTTGTTTACTTATCTTTTATGAGAACGATATCAGAATGATTCGAGAATAATTGGTTGGGTTTTTTTAGTCAAAATAGTTTCTAAGATTGATATGACTTCTCACTATGGTTTTTGAGATCTATAATCGATAGAAATGGTTGCCTAGTTTGGTCTGTCGTCAATCATTTTGATTATTCCATGAAAAAATTTCATTAAATAAGGATAAAATACAAATAATTAAACATTCATTTTCTATCAAATTATTTCGCACATTGTTTATCAAATTGAGTGTTTTTGTCATTTTGGTCCTTATTTAACCGACATTTTTCACAGAATGACCACATCTCTTGAGTTTCTAATCTCAAGAATCAAAGTGAATAGTTATACCAATTACAGAGATCATTTTAGTTTAAAACGCCTAATTCGTTGGTCAAGCATGGAATAAACAATCCTTTTAAATTAGTAAGACATATGACTGAAACTTTGCATGTCCATTCGCTTGGGACGGACGATCAAGGAGAATTAGGTCAGACTGGTTAGCATATGAGCAGTTTGGGTTTAGGCACCATTAAAGTGTGGCGGGGTTTTTTGCCATTCTTGCCGGTCTGGATTTTAATGGTGTGGCTATAGCAATGGAATGGTAAACAAGTTTTGAAGGTATGGCAGTAAAAGCTTGGGTTGTGCCATGTGTGGCTGAATTAGGAAAGGGAATGGTTCGATTAGTAATTTGGTTAAACACGTGTCCGCTTAAACCTTCTTTCTACGCGTTAGACAAGAATAATGTTAGGACATCAATTAAATTTGCAGATCAAATGATATGTCACTAATGAAAAATAAGTACGTTAATCAACTTTTAAATAACAATCCAATCATCAATTTACTGGTGAGGACATATCTTGTGCTCATAATTTGTAGTCTAGAATGTATAATAGCTACTTTAAGCTTCCCTCCAACAAGCTGTGGACGGCCTAAATTAAACAAACTGCCTGCATAATACTAATGATTTAATAAATAAAAAATGAAAAAAAAATCGTAATTATTAAATGATACTATGGAAGCCAAACCCCGCACATCAGTGCAATGAAAAATTATTATTGGGACTTAAAAAAATTATTATTTTAGAGGTTATTATCGTCGAAAAATGAATAATTTATGAATTTATTGATAAATAGATGCTTGTTAATTTATAAAAAATATTATGATTTGTTCATTTTTGTGTTTTTTTTTTCTGATAAAGATACATGTATATTGTAGGGTTTATAAACTTTTAAAATAATTTAAGAACAAGATAACGTCTCATTTGAAAGGAATAAAGAAATCCGCTTTGAGTGATGAGATAAAGAGAGCATTGTGCGAGTATAAAAATGAGGATCTCTCTTTTGCTTAAAAGATGTGCAAACAATTGGTTCAACAAAAGTATTAGTTCATTTCTGTCAACCAATCAACATTATCAAACACTTAGTATTTGTCGGAAGAGATGAAAAATAGCACTGTTAAGAGGCATAAACCAGCGAAATATTCCAGAGTAAGAAAAAGTATTGTATGAGTAGTTTCTCTAATTTCACCTTTATGACCAACACTTTAATCTCTAATAATCCATTGTCTTTTGATAAAACTAAAAATTGAAAATGAAATTACGAAACTAATTGAGAAAATTTTGTGTGGAGAACTGCATGAGTTTCGCCCTTTTGACCTCAAAAGTTATTTTTCATTTTTCATTTTTTTGAAAAATAGAAATTCAGATAATTATCTCATATGATACATAGGGTATTACTTAACCTATAAGCGTCACAATGGCTAATAAGGTAATATTTTCAACCACTGTGTGACAATTCATCATTTGAGCTTTTCCATTTTTGGTGCGAAATTCCTTTGTAGAAATGCTTTTTCCTTTTTCGTATTTATTTTTAAAATTCAATAAATCTGAAAAGGAAAATATAAAGCAGCAAAATTACAAATGAAAACCCAGAATCGATGATAACTATGCCGAAAAACGTGGCGTGCAAGTAACGGCCTCCTTTAAATTCGGCATGTCGGGTCTCTTCCGTTGTACACCGCACACTCACCTCAGTGACTCGGTCGATCGGCGATTTTTCACAGAGCTCGCAGCCATGGCTCCTCCGACTCTTCTCGGCCCTCCAGAATTCAGCAAACCCGCACAGACCATCCCACCGTCTCAACCCGAACCCAAATGCGAGCCCAAACCCCCAACAGGCGAACCCTTCGTCGATCTGATGGTCTCCAGTTTCAACAACATATCGATGGAAAAGAAGCCCCCGATGGGCCTGACGGAGAACAACTCCGCCACCTACCTCTCCACCGGCAACCCCTGCCTCGATCTCTTTTTCCACGTGGTGCCGGAAACCCCCGCCGATTACCTGAACGAGCAGCTCCCGCAGGCCTGGGCCCATAACGCGCTGACCACGCTCAAGTTGATTTGCAACCTCCGAGGCGTGCGCGGGACGGGGAAGTCCGACAAGGAGAACTTCCACACGGCGGCGTTTTGGCTTCACGAGCACCACCCCAAAACCCTCGCGTGCAATCTCCAAACGTTTGCGGAGTTCGGGTATTTCAAGGACCTCCCGGAGATTCTCTACCGGCTTCTGGAAGGTGAGGACGTGCGGAGGAACCAGAGGGAGGAGTGGAAGAACCGAAAATCTGGCGGCGGCAAGAAGAGGTGGAATTCGGGTCGGGATCTCGGACCCGAACAACCGATCCCGTTCAAAAAAATCGGGGCGAAAATGGAGAAGAAGGCCGGCAAAAAGAAGGAGATGACGCAAGAAGAAAAGGAAGCGAAGGAAGCGAAGGCGAGGGAGTGGGAAAAGTCGGAAAAGGAAAAGGCGAGCAGGCTGAGGAAGGAGAAGAAGATCGCCATGGCCAAGAAGGCGGTGGCCCGGTACGAGCACGATGCGGATTTCCGGTTCCTGCATGAGCGGGTTTCGGATATCTTTGCCGAGTTCTTGAAGGCCGATATGGAGAATTTGAAGTCGAATCAGAGCAACAAGATCAGCCTCGCGGCAAAGTGGTGCCCTTCGATCGACTCCTCGTTCGATCAGGCCACTCTGATCTGCGAGACCATCGCGAGGAAGGTGTTCCCGCGCGAATCGTACAAGGAATACGACGGCGTTGAAGAAGCCCATTACGCGTACAAAGTGAGGGACCGCCTGAGGAAGGAAGTGCTGGTGCCGCTGAGGAAGGTTCTTGAGCTGCCAGAGGTGTACATTGGGGTCAACCAGTGGGGTTCGATTCCGTACAACAGGGTGGCTTCCGTGGCGATGAAGAATTACAAGGAGTTCTTCTTGAAGCACGACGAGGAGAGGTTCAAAAAGTACTTGGAGGACGTGAAGGCGGGCAAGGCGAAGATTGCTGCCGGAGCTCTGCTGCCCCATGAGATTATCGGGTCTCTGGAGGACGGCGATGTTGGGCAGGTAGCGGAGCTTCAGTGGAAGAGGATGGTGGAGGATATGTTGAAGTTGGGGAAGATGAAGAACTGCTTGGCTGTGTGTGACGTGTCAATGAGCATGTCAGGGACTCCAATGGAGGTGTCGGTGGCGTTGGGGCTGCTGGTGTCTGAGCTGAGTGAAGACCCGTGGAAAGGGCTGGTGATCACTTTCAGTGAGAATCCTCAGCTGCATTTGGTGAAAGGGGACGATCTGATGACCAAATGCCAGTTTGTGAGGAGGATGGATTGGGGTGGGAACACTGATTTCCAGAAGGTGTTTGATTTGCTGCTGAAAGTTGCGGTGAAAGGGAATTTGAAACCGGAGAATATGATCAAGAGGATTTTTGTGTTTAGTGACATGGAGTTTGATCAGGCTTCGGCCAACTGCTGGGAGACGGATTATGAGGTGATACAAAACAAATATAGGAAGAGCGGGTATGGGGATGCGATCCCGCAGCTGGTGTTTTGGAATCTGAGGTACTCGATGTCTACACCGGTGCCTGGGAATCAGCCTGGGGTGGCTCTGCTGAGTGGCTTCTCTAAGAATCTGCTGAAGCTGTTCATGGACAATGATGGGGACATTCAACCGGATGTTTTCATGGAATTAGCCATCTCGGGAGAAGAGTATCAGAAGCTAGTTGTGCACGATTGAGTGATCAAATGACGACGAGTTGAGTTTTGCATGTTAATAAGAACAAGTGAGAACATAATGTGATGCAGTGCAGGTAGCGTCTGTTTTGTTGCAGAGTTTTATACCTAGGATAAAAGGTGAAATGAAAAATGAAATCATATGTTTTTGGTAAAGTTATATATCGGGTTCTATGTTCATTTCTGCAATTTAGAAGATGTTACAGTCACTGTCTAGGTTGCACAAACACTCCAAAACCCCCAAGTGTCGGACACGGTCAATGGTTTGAACACGGTCAAGACACGGTTTGGACACAATAACCAAAGAGAAACAGTAACCTTAGCCAGCATCTATTTTCAACTTACGCAATTCAAAAGAGGGTCTGACTGAAATTATGAGATTGCTTTTATGGAATCATGTGTCTGTCGAGAAGAATATGAAAAGCTTGTGCATGATTGATTGGTGAACTGATGATGAGTTGAGCTGGTTGTGCATGAACTGATGACGTGAAAATAAGATCATATGTTTTCGGCGGATGTTTCTCTTCGCTGAAGTTGGGTCTGTTTCTGGTTAATACTGTTCTTCTCGAGTTCCATGAAAACTACGAATGCGATTTATACTATGTTACGAGATTCCTTGGAAATTCTGCAGTGTTCTTTATCAATTCTGTTGTAGCTAGAAGAAGCTACAAAAATTTAAATCTTCGCCGTCCAATTCTTTGAACTTAAGAAGTAAAGGATTGGGTGTTGGGACAGTATTCCGGAGTATTGAATACTCTGCCACTTAGTATTGTGGATACTTCGCAAAGGATGCTCTCGCCCAAAATGGAAAGTAAAAAGCACGCATTTTCCTGTTTCTGTCTCTTTGGGCCATAGGCTGAGGCTATTCCCAAACAGTACAAAACTTGAAGCTTGGTGCCTCAATCCATACCACACGTTCTTGCCTTGGCCCTCTTCACGGGCTCAGCCCAGGTTCTGATCAGTGCACCCATTTTCAAATCAGCCCATAACCTAAGCACTTGTGACCGTTTGATTTATTTTGTTTCCATAACAAGTTGACACGATCATTAACGGATTGGGTCAATGTTTATTTACAAAGCACTTGTGACCGTTTGATTTATTATACATACATAAGTTGTTTTGGTATCATAAGAATCCTCGTACTCAACATTATTTGGTTAGATTCTTTATGCTTTGGAGTTTTGTTGTCGATATTGTGAGTTAGTTTGGATCAAATAATTTTACATGTTTTTACCACGTTAAAACGTTGTCATCATGTTTATTAGTTTGCAATTCTTTAGGAATGGAATGGACACAATTATTATTGCCCCCGTACATAAAGGGGTGTGCTATCTACGCACTTTTTTACTTCTCACACACCCCTTGTTAACTTATGTCCTTTTGATTTTCTTCAATTCATTTAATTCGACGGTTGAAAATTGAAAGGAGTGTGTGAGAAGTAAAAAGAGGTGTGTGAACAACTAGCTCATTCCGTGGGCTAAACTTAGTGGGTTAGCTAGCTCACCCTAATATCAAATTAAATGTGACCTACACACTCCTAAACTGCAATCAAAACCTTTCCTAGTGTTTAGATACATAAATTAATTGTTACAATCATATTGCCAATCAAATCCGTTTTAAATTGGCGAGTGAATACTGAGACTTCACCAGAAAACGTTTATTCGACTAGTTCTCTTCTTCCATTGCAAAAAAAAAAAAAAAAAAAAAAACCCAGAAACTTTTCTCATTCCTGTTGCCAACCCCAAACCCATGGCAAGTTTTGGGGTCGGAGACAACCCTTTTTCCTTTTTTTTTTTCTCCTTCATGCCTTATCCCGCGGCTCCCCCTTTAACATCTTCTCACCTACTGTTTTGGAGCAACCCTCCATAGTTTAATGGAGCTCTATCCCGAACCCTCCTCTAAGCTGTCTTTCGAGTTTAGGTGCGTGTGATTTGCGGTGGTATTACGGTTGTGGTGGGTCCAAGCCACCTTCTCGGCTTAGTTGTAGTTTGTGTTGCTAGAGGTTGTGCGGTCTCATTTTCACGATGACTTTGTGTGTTCTTTGGTCTTGAATCTATCAATGATGATTTATTGTGACAGATTTGTACCATTAGTTCTTGTGTATTGTGTTTAGGGTGTCCATTGTTTGTTGTGCTTTACTCTATCCAGATCAAGGATTTGGCACCCTTTTTGTAATCATGTTTCAACTTTTAACAAAATATCACTATCGCTTCGTATAAAAAAATGATAGAGAGTAGATATTATACATTGAGATGGATCGAACACGTTAAAATTGCAGCGGTTGTTATAAGAAAAGGTCTGATCATCTGCCAAATACAAGACATTGCCACTACGAGTTGTTGGCTCTGTTGCGTGATCGACCAGTGAAATATAAAAAGTAATGAAAGGTGGCCCCTTTCCACACTTGAAACCTCTCACCATAAACTTCATGGTGGGATCACCATGCCGTTACCGCAGTCACGTTGTTTTAATGTTCCGTATTGGAACACATTCTTCTTTTGATATTACTACTTGTCCTCACTGTCAGTCTAATTCTGGTGGATGTGTTCTAACAGGGACCAATATCTTAATCGAAATTGTTCATTTTTAAGGCTATTTTTTTTTTTTCAAAATTGTTCATGAGTTGATATAATTTCTTATTTTGATCCATAGGATTTAAAATCGATAGAAATGATCTCTAAGATTGTCCATCGTCAATCATTTTAGTCATTCTATGAAAAATCTCATTAAATTGAGGGTATTTTGTCAAATCAACTTCTCCCCTTGAACTGGTGGTTTTTTTAATTTAATGAAGATTTGTCACAGAAGAACCAGAGTGATTGACAGTGGACAGTCCTTTTTTTTTTTTTTTTTTTTTTTTTTAACAAACGATATTATCTACATTAAAGGGGAGGGAGTAGGCTAAGCCTCACAATGAGCTAGCAATAATGTGGTTCAAATTTACCTTTAGCGAGAATTGAACCTAAGACCTCTCACTTACGAGTGAAGTGTGAAGAGGAATACCACTGGACCATAGTACTAAGTGGCGACGGTGGACAATCTTAAAGGATCACTTCTATCGATTTTAAACCTCATGGACCAAAGTGAAGAATTATGACAATTTCAATGACTATTTTGACCAAAAAAAAAAAACCTTGTTTTAATCGCATTTTTTTAAAGATAGAAATGAGTACACGCTCTCTTGCATCCAAATTCGAATTATCTTCTATATAGATTAGAATAGTTTAAATTCATAGTGATGGTGATGATCATAACAGTACCAAGATCCTTGATTTGTTCCTTATATTTGAAGTATAAATGAACTCTAGTTTGATTGATTTTTTTAACAATGATTTTTTTATCAAACGATGGATTGTAGCAATGATGTTAAAAAAAATTTAAAAAAAATATTTTTGCTTCTAATATTTTCACTAAGTTAAAGTACATTGTTCACAACATAACGAGCAAGTAAGCACATTCATAAAATAAGGCAAATAATGAACACACTTTATTTCCTCTAACACCATTTGTTAATTCCGTTTAATTTATCAAATCTGAATACGATAAATTAAAAATGTTAAGGCGTGTGAACATATATTCCATAAAATAATTGCGCGAATTGTTGTTTTTCTTTAATTTCTAGAAAAATAAAATTACAAAAAGAAGAATTAATTAGTCAAAATCAAATATCTCAAAACGACTTAAACACAATGACATGGAAAAAATGTTTATGTTGCCACCTACAAACGCGGATCCTCGCTGTAAGGATTCAGGAGATCTGTCAAACTTTTTTGTTCATCATATATTGTGCGGTCAAAGTTATTTTAAATATTTTTATTTAAAATTAAATACAAATAATATTTGACATAAACTAACCGCATAATATATAATGAATGAATATAATTCACGAATTCTGGAGATCTTTACCTAAAGAACTCGAAGAGGATCCTGTTGGCCACCTACATTGAGGAATCACAATCAAAAGGAAAATTCTCGACGGTGGACGACAAGGCCGACGCGACGACTCTTGCCGTCACGCCACCAAATTAAAAGAACGTGGCCTACAAAGTTGAACACGTGGCTACAGCCTACAGAGGATTCCCGGGGATTTTAGTCACGTGATTGTTGAACTTTGATCGTTGGCGACAGGCGACAGGCTGCCCACCGCCCGCACAATATCCTGATTCCTACCCCCGATTTCCCATACAATCCTTTCTTTCACCAACTTTGACCTGAAAATTCAGCATCGCATTTTATTTTATTTACTTTTTTAATCCTGAAACTTCCTGTTATTTTCAAATCGACAATGATATCAGAGTTCAAAAGTAATAAACCTTTCACGTCAACAAAAATAAGTTATGACTATAGAATTACCTAATATTTTGCACAGCCATTTGGAGAAAGCACGAAACAGTTTGTTGGCCACCCATAAAGTCAAATTTCTTATTAGTACTCGCTCAAGATTGTTGATCGACCAAATTTCGATTTGTACATGTGGCTTGGGAGATCACTGTCTTGCTGGCTAAGTATCTTAGACGATCGCCAAATGGTGTCCTAAAAATTATTCCTATCACCGTATGTCCTTAGGTTTAAGGACTTGGTGGATTCTGATGGAACGAAGATCCAGTCTGTATGGTAAAGGACTTCTCGGAGCGTCAAAAAATTTCCTCACAATTGAGGACCATGTAGGGTCTAAAAGGACTGAAACCAAGATTGTTTTTTGACTGGAATGGTCTCACAATGCAAAGTTGCACAGTATACGTCTCTTATACGCGCAAATAACTCACAGTCGTCAAACAGCCGTTGACTTAACGTTAGGCTCGGATCCCACAATCATTTGTTTTTTGTTTCAAATCAACAGTACAAATAACCGCACTGTTTAGATCAAAGATTGTTATGTTGACAATGATTTTTTTTTAATCTTTTAGTCCCCAAATTAAGGATTATACTATAAGAACACTCCATTAAAGCAAATATTCTTATATTGACTGGATATTCCTTCGAAGCCCCTAAAAAGGTCTCCAAGGGTGCCTCAACAAAAGCATAAACGTGACATACCTATTTTGTTGTTGAGGTTGTCACTAATAATGGTGACTATGTGGATGATACCTATTATTGAGGCACAATGTTACCAAATGCTGCTAGAAATGCGTACTTATTTGACTGTACAAAATTAAGTTGTGAGAAATGCCTTTTTATATAAGTATCTTTTACTCCATATAAAAAAGGTCTTCCCAGTATTATAGTGTAAATGTGAAGCTATCATCAGCTTTAGACCATCTTTAACCTTTGGGTTAAAACTTAACAATTTTAACCAAAAAAATTTAGGTTTTAACCCCGAAATTATTAAAGAATGAGTTTAGAATAATTTTTTTCTTAAAGTAACTTTAAAAAAAAAATTATGTAGACTATCCTAATTTAATTTTATGAACGTTTTAACCTAAAAATATTTAGATTCTGACAAATATTGAAAATCATTAAACCGGCACCATAAAACTTGTGGAACAGTACGAAAGAATATGAAACATGTAAAATAAATTTTTTTTAATTACTTTAGTTGTTGGATTTAAATTTGGACTGTTAGATATTTTTTTTACCGTTGGATTTGAACAAATTAGATTTTAGCCTTTAGATTAAATGAATTTATAAATATAAAATAAAAAAAAATACGCATATATAATGGGCTAACCCCACTAATTAACCCAAGGGGAATCTTGGGCTAAATTTGTGCCAAAAATAAGTTTAGGGTTTTAAGTCATATTTGCCCCACAACCATCTCCAACCCTTGGGGATAAAGCTTAAAAATTTAAGCCAAAAAATTTTAAGCCATAAGCCAGAAACTGTTTTTCTCCTCCAACCCTTGTGGCTTAAAATTTTAGCCCGTGATGATAAAATAATGATTTTAGCCTAACTTTATGTTTTCGGTAATTTTTTTTAAAATAAAGTTTATGTAGATTATCTTAATTTATTTTTATGAACATTTTAATCTAAAAATATTTAAATTCCGATAAGTAATTAAAAACCATACAAATACATAGGTATTTATAAAGTTTTAAGTTAAATTTGATTTAAATTATTTTAGACGTTATATTTAATTTTGGGCCATCAAATCTTTTTTTTTACTATTAGATTTGATTTTATTTGATCATAGCCGTTAGATTATAAGTAAAAGAACAAAAAAAATGTTTGAAATATGACAGTTTGGTGGGTCCAGAATAATTTAAGTCAGACTTAAACCATGAGAGAATCTAGCCCATAGATATATTTTCTCCCCAGGGCTTATTTTAGCCCATGGTTGGAGATGGTTTGGGGGTTTTAAAAGCTTATATTTTAAGCTTTATCCTATAAGTTGGAGATGGTCTAAGGATTGGAGCAAGTTGGATTAAGTTTAGAACCTGAAATTTGAGTTTTACTCCAAAAGTTAGAGTAAGTCTTAACTATATTTTTTTTCCTGTTTATATTCCAATAGGGAGGAGGAAATGAGTTGTAAATATAACAATTGGAAAGAGTTGCTAAAGGAATGTAAAGCATTAGCATCTTGGAGTGGGGACTCCGCCATTTGAGAAAAAGAAACTCTTTGTATCACCATTTCTCTATATTAAGGTGAATGTAGCTTCTTCTATTTGCATGCAATGCATAATTAATTACTTTTCATCATAAATGAAAAGTCTTGTACGAAGCACTTCAAGTGTTTTTGAAACTCAACAATATTTTTTCTAAAAATGTTTTAAGTTATTTTAAAATTATTTTCAAACGAGCTCTTAACCTAATCTTAGTAATACCTGTTAAAAAATAATTAAAAATAGAAAAAGAGGCCATTCCAAAGCATAAAAAAAATTAATAATAATAATATTAAGGCTTTGGAAAAGTCATATTGCTGAAACCTGAAGGCATCCAGAAAAGCAGAGAGAGCACGAGTCTATCAACTACCAAGTCTTAATACCTTGTGGGCTAATTCATTGGCAAAATATTGAAGCATTCCAATAAATAAATTGACCACGGTTTAATCCAAAACACACGGGTCAGGGCACTGACCGAGGGTTCTTCCAAAATGTTTCCAGAATGGTTACAAATGCTTTGCATTGTTGCATTATAAAAGCACTTTTAGAAAGCACTTAAGTTTGTAATAAAAATTTCAACGTGTCTATAATGAAAGCAATCATTAGTGAACTCTAACATGCAACGACAACATTAAAACAACAGTATTTCAAACTTATCACGTATTATCATATATTTTAGTTTTCTCATGAAACATTTCATAATTAATTCAAAATCCGTCATCTCATCTCAATTTCACGGAAGTTTTTCTCATGACAACACGCGTTGCCCTACTCCATGCAGCATACAAGTGATGACGACCTACACCAGAAAACAATTATCAATTTGTGAAATGACCACTTGGACCTCCTTTACGAAGACGACTAGTATAGCAGCAGGAAAGTCCAATTCATTTCATATTTTAATATTTGCATTTGCCATAACAAAAACAATGTGACAGTGTATTAGTTGGACCAGTTCTCTCTCTCTCTCTCTCTCTCTCTCTCTCTCTCTTGCTTTTTTTTTATTGTTTGCACCTCGTGGAAGACGTGCGCTCATAAAGCATTCCAGTGCAGCTTAACTCACATTACATGAATCCCGTGCCCTTTAAAGTTGCTCCTCTCTCTCCCGCCCTTGCCATTTAATAAGTCGGTCATCCAATCCAAACCTCCCCAACCCTTACATTCTTCCAGATTCCAAATTCCAAACCAAACTCTTTCAACCAATTCAACAAACACCGTCTAAACATGTCCAGAGCCACTGTCGAGCTCGACTTCTTCGGCATGGACCAGCACCACCGGGAGGCCCCCTCCTACTCCTCCAAATCCCAATTCCAGAAATTCCTCCACCGACCCAGAAGCTTCCGAGGCATTCACACCGCCATGTCCAAGATCAACCCCGAGGCCTTCAAGTCCGTCATCACTTCCGGCAATGCCAGTCCCAGCATTCCAAATCCGAGGAAATCGTTTTCGGTGCCGTCGAGCCCCAAGGTGGAGCAAGTCCTGTTTCCCCGTTTGCCACTCTACGCTCCCACCGCCACTTCCGTTTCCTCTGTCGCGTCTGCAACTTCCGAGAGCCTCCAGGAAACAACGCCGATGACGATTTTCTACAACGGCACCGTCTCTGTTTTCAATGTCCCTCGCGACAAGGTTTGTTCTTCTTCTTCCCCATCTTACTTAATTAACAAAATTTTTTTAATGAGTTGGTAGTTAGTTTCTAATTAGGATTTATTGATGATTGGGTTTTGTTGTGCAGGCGGATAGCATATTGAAACTTGCTTTGGAAGGAAACTCCCGCAAAGCTGCAGAAGCAGCGTTAGCCGTCGATCCAAAACTTGCTCTTCATCCAAGTGAGCAGCAGCAGCAACTTGTGGATCCTCTTAGCGAATGTTAGTCTTTACTTTCCCTAATAATATTTGATAGTTCCTCTGTGAGAAATTTTCTGTTAAAGAGAGGTAAAGTAAGTTGATATATTATATAGGATAATGTTTGTGTTTCTCCCCCACTTAGTACTATAGTCTAGAGGTTTTAGGTTCGGTTCTCGTCAAAAATGAATTTGAATCACAATATTGTTAGCCCATTGTGAGTTTAAGCCCACCCCTCCCCTTAGTGTAGATAATATCGATTGTTCAAAAAAAAAAAAAAAAAATCATCATTGAAAGTGTTTATACTCTTGATCATCATCTAAACATCATATTTGTACAAAAATCATTCGATTTAAATATCATTTAGAAATTCATATGCAGCAAACAAATAAATGGTTCATAATGAGAAAACTAATTGTTATCAAAATCGTGATACGCACGAATGGTTAAACTATTTTCAAATTAAATGGTTTTTTTTTTTTTTTTTTTTTGTAGAAATGATCTTTTGTTGATGATAAAAAGTATGAACAGTTCTTATTATAAAATTCTTATAGTTAAACTACGTTAATCATAAATCGGAGAACAAGTAGGTTCTCATGAGTAGAACACAAGTATTATCCTATTATATTATATATAGTAGTATTACTAGTGATATCCTGCAATTTTAATGCTCAAACACTAACAAGTTAGCATTTTAAGTCACACTGTCCTCACGTATTTTTATTTTTATAAATTGTGCAGATCTACCAATTACTCGTTCTAAGTCATTGCAGAGGTTTCTCGAGAAACGCAAAGAGAGGTAAATTGACGCATGAATTTCTTGTTTTGTATGTTATTTCATGTTTCATCCGAAAATTTTGCTTTGCTCAATCTAAAAATAAGAGTATAAAAATCACTTCTGATAAACTTAAATAACAAGAAGGTTTTGATGATAAAAGAATTTTTCTTCAATGTTATGTAATATTGAATGCTACCCGAATTGTATTCGAAATGAATGGCTGATATTTAGTGTTATTCTTCTTCACTTGTAAGTGAGATATCTTAGGTTCCTCTTCACTTATAAGTGAGAGGTCTCAGGTTCGAATCTCGTGGATGACGAATTCGTTACCAAATTAGGTTGCCCATTGTGTGGTTTCGCCAAACTCTTCATTCCCTTAGTGTAAAAATATCTATGTACTAAAAAAATAGTTATAAAAATAAAATGTAATAGCTAAAACACACGCTACTTTGGATGATATGTAGTATTGAACCCATAATTGAAAAACAATAATAAAAACTAGTTTTAAACTTTGAATCATTATGATTCTGTCTTGTCCTTATCATAAACGCACATAAATCATGTGACACTTAAATAATTTTAATTGTGCACCATACTTAGTCCATGAATAATCAAGTGTGATAAATAAATAGTAAACGTGAAAATAATAACGCGTTTTTTGTTTTGAATATGATATACAGGTTGAATGCGGGTTCTCCTTATGCTGACCAAACCTAATTAACGCGTTTAGACAACCAGCACATGACAAAAGTAGAAGAAGAAGGAGAGGAGACTGTCAGAGAAGACTGATTCCAACCTCCTAGTCTAAGAAAGAAAAAGCACTTATTTTAGTAGAAAACGAAAGATGAGAGCGTATATTGTTTCCTTGTGAAGGATGCAAAAGCACTTGTCGTAAAGTCTCTTTGCACGTTTTAGTGATGGCCCTTGGCTATTTGGGGCATTCATATCTATGCCTGCTTCCTGAAACTTTCATGTGGTCTTTCAAAGTGGAATATTTTTGAGACCATTCTTTTATTTGTAAGCTTTTTTATATTGCTATTATTTAATATACTTATTATTGTTATTAGTCACATATTGTTGAATACTCTATATTTTTTTTTTTTAGTAAATTGTCATTAGCATTTTAAAAATTTTATTCAGCACTCTAAATATTTTATAATTAGAAAAAAAATATGTAGAATAAAAGTTTTGAAATACTGATAACAGTTCCGTTTTTTTATTTGCTATTTTAAAATGGTTTGAATTGAATTTGGCGGAACCGTGTCTCCTGCTTTAGTATCTACTTTGGTTTCCATTGGAATAATACATCTTGTTTGTATTGTGACTTGTACTATAAAGTAATAGAAATCTGAATTCAAATTTTTAAAACGTGTTTGGCTGACGGTGGACCTTACTTTTCACGCACGGCTACCAAAATATGACCAAACTCACCATTATTCATTTGAGAAATAATAAAGGAAATTATCTCAAAGTGAAAATTTTTTTGGATTCTCTATCATTTTATGTTTTGATACAATATTTTATAATATTTATACGAGAATTAATATAAACAATGAGGTAACAATGAGTTCATAAACAATCTCACTTTAAGAGAATCTCCTTACTATTTATCTATTCCTTTTTTTTTTTTTTTTTTTTACCAGAAACCATAGATGGTATTTCATTGGTCTTAGAAACAAATACAAATACAAAAAACTGTTAATTGGGTACAATGTTCTGATGACCATAATTGATGTGGAGTGAAATAGTCTAGACATACAAATTAGAGTAACCTCCTACATGGCTACCATAAACACGAACCTATGAATACAAACATACAAGCCGTCACCTGTGCAAACATGTCACTAAAACGATAGACGCAACAATAATATTCCTGCAACACACTATTCATTACTAAATTACGAGGCAACATAAAATCATTATACAAAAGCGAGACCATGTAGAATTATTATTGAAAAACGAAACAACATAACTCAACCGCTCAATAAACTCACAGATCGGCCCGGCTCGTCTCTGTGGATGAACAAAGAGGCCACCAACTCACCATTATTCCTTACCTACAATAAAAAGTATAAAAATTTGTACTTGGCTTTGGCACTTCTTCTGGTTGAGACCTGCATTGCCAAATTTATTAAACAGTATTTGAATTAGGTGAAGAGCATTTAAATTACTTTTGACTGTTGACTTTCCCCATTTTTTGCAAAATAATTTTTCATACGTTTACTAGTTGTGGAATAAATAAGGGAAAACATAATTTACATTTTAAACTCTGGAATCCAATATTGGGTGGTCCCAATATAAATGCTCCAAAAAATATTGGACGAAATCAGTGTTATAAAAATCGGCCTAAGAGCTAGGCGGTGAAGATCCGTCCTAATTTAGGGCAAATAGTTTCAAAAAATTGGTCTGGAGCTAGGTTGTCCTAGGCGGTCCTAGGCGGCACCTAGGTGGTCCTAAACGGATTTGGTTTTTTTATTTTTATTAATTGTGTGTGTTTTTTATTTTATTTTTAGTTTCATGGTGGTATACTTGTGGAAATGGTGTACCTAATTTGCAAATGATGGATTGACTACAAGTTCATCCAATTGTGAAATGAATTGGAGAACTTTTGAGAGGATACTTACAAAACAAAGAAATAAACTAGATACAACAACGTTAAATAGTTTAGTCTATGTCCAATCCAATGCAAGGATCATGAACAAGAAGAATTTAATTTATCATCCAAGAATATTCCTCATTATGATTATATGCTTACTATTTTTTTAATATTGAACTTGTTGGATGGATGTAATTTGTGTATTTTTCTACTTCTATTTTTGCATTTTGTCATTCTTTTATTATCCATACAAGTATAGTTTTTTTTTTTTAAGTGTAAATAGACACTTATTTACAAGATATATAATAAATTTACATAAATCCATCTGGGGCCGCCTAGGTGCTAGGCCCCTGCCCACCACCCGATTAGCGCCTAACGTTTTTTTAGAACATTGGACGAAATATAACTTTGAAAAATTAAATGATAAATTACAATTTTTCATTCATAATATGTGTACAAACAACATTACAAGCTATAAAGACTAAATTTGTCTATGACGAGGTTTTATATTCTAATGATTTTCGCTTGTAATATCGTTTCATACTCCTAATTTCTACGCATATCAACATTACAATATAAATGAACTAACCAACACATGATCCAAACAATATAAAAAAATCATAACAAATTAACAATAACTATAATTTAATATTCTCCGTGATTAATTTAGACTAAAATGAAAAATTTACTTAAATTTAAAAATGAAGAGATTAAATGGTGGTGGAGAAAAGACAGCTGACTGGTTGTCCGTGGACCTGTTTGTGGAGGAAGGGTATGGAATCGGGGAATAGGATATCCAATTAGGGTTGTTAGTATTGGAATTGGAAAAGTCAAATCTCTTTGAAAGTTTGAATCTTTTTTAATTTTTTTTAATAAAAAATGGTAAAAACTATATATCAAAGAATGGGCTTTAGTATAGGCTCAAAGGAGGGTGTCCCTTCAAACCATTTAACCGAACGCACCGTTTTACTTAAATGACTCGGCTCAAAACTATTTAGTCTTCTTCTTCCTCCGGTTTTCAGAATGCAGAATACCAAAAACGCTGTGCAACCACACTCCTCCCCCTCCGCTACATGCCTAGACTTGGGTGGTCCTCGAAGGCCCTCGCTACCACTTAATCGAACTTCCAGGTGGTTCCGAGATCATATGGGTCCCTTAATAGATCCATCCCTGGTATTTGAATTAGGTGAAGAGCATTTAAATTACTTTGACTGTTGACTTTCCCCTTTTTTTGCAAAATAAGTTTTGATACGTTTACTAGTTGTGGAATAAATAAGGGAAAGCATAATTTACATTTTAAACTTCGGAATCCAATATCCTAAAAAGAAATCATAAATCAAATAGTTGATCTAGTTCACATTTGTTCATTCCGTTCTTGATTCATGATTTCCCTCATAATTGCCATAGTTATTATTGGAATAACTTTCCTACAACATGTTGTATATTTCCATATATCCATGTAAAAGAGACAGAGAGAAATGAAAGCATATGAATGTTTTTTCGATCATGGGGATGATCAATGGTGCCATAACATTAAGAGGAAAACAAAACTCGTTATATTATTATGCGGTTTTCAAACATGTTGCGCAAAGACAATCGAGAGACGGCATCCGTGACAATTAACAAACCTTCTCCTCGAGAAACAGAGGGTGTGGAAGTCCTGTCCAAACTGGTCAGGCCTTGGTTCGATTTTGATACATGCATCTGGTTTGGCATAAGTGGGAGTATATGTTTTAAATGTTTTTAGTATTTTAGGTTGGTAACAGTAAGACCAGGTGGCTATTAGTTTGACTGTGTGTCAAAGTTAACTAAACAACTGAGTTTCCCTAGTTCATGTCCTCTATAATGATGGGCTTCTTTGCCCTCCCTAGGTCTTTATTTTGTAGTGTGAAGGGGTGATGTTTTTAGCATTAAATGCGGCGTCGATGAATCATGTACCCCCTTACACTACTTGGTCTTTTATGCTTTACATTGGCTGTTTGCCTCTTTGTAAGCTTTCTATGTATCTTTTTAACATATTTACCCTGGTAATGAAGTATCCAGTTCACAAAAAAAAAAAAAAAAAAAAAAAAAAAAAACAACTGAGCTTCCACAATATTCTCTGAAATTGGACCTCCGAACAGATATGAAGTAAGGTGAATGAATTTAGAGATGGTGAGTGAAAGAATAAGGAGTGAAAAGGGGGTGTTGGACAAGTGGGTTAAGTGAGAACCCAATAACGTGCAAGAGAAACGAAATTATTGGGCATTGCCCACGGGCCCAAGATTTATAGAAATGACACTTGTAATATCCCATGAATCATCATCATTATATAGAGGAATGCCTTGCGATTGAAGAAAATTCATGGTCAAACACACAATCCGGAGCGGTATCTTAAACAAATAACAAAATAACGTGTGAAAAAGTAAAGACACATAGCGTTGTGTTATTAGCTGTTTCAAGCTTGGATATGACACTGCTGCGGACAGATGAGCTCCCAACCAATGTTGGGGAGATCATCAACGTTCACACAATAATCTATATGCGATATTAACTTTCATAATGTACAGATATGAGATGCGTTCAGTTAACTTTCAAAATGTACAATCAGAGCATAGATTTCAATTTCGAGTCTTTTTGATGTACACGTATTCAATGTCAAGTTACCTGGTGAATTGACACCTTTCACTACTCCAAATTTACAGGTAATGGAATGTTTGCTAGCTTTTTTCAATGATTCTAATTTCTATTGAATGTGGTACTATTTACAGATAGTTGAGCACTCGTGATTCGATTTGGGCACTAAATGATAATGAAAAACAGTTGTATAAGTTATACATGTGATAACTTGTCCTCCTTTGATGCTTACATTTTTTTTTCACATTTCTATCACTTGTAAATTAATTATTACGAATTTTTATTGTAATTTGATATTTCTTAAAAAATATCAAAGCACATTAAGATTTCATAATAATTCATTTACAAGTGATAGAAATGTGATAAAATATAAATGCTTGTGATTGCATCATTCACGCTTTGACCATGATTACATTGTTGTTTGGATTTTATGACCGTCGAAACTCTCGTGAACAATGTTTTTAGGGGAGTAATTATTTAATAAAAATCATAATAATTAACGTAAAGGCAGGAAAAATATAAAGAAATTATGGCAACGTTTGGGATCACATAATGTACAATTTGACAAATGTTAGATCGTCATATGGATTTTTCAAACCCTCCACACCCTCATGAATAGTGTTTTCCTATGACTTAAAAAAATAGAAAAAATTGTAATAATAAGTTTAACTCATAAAAAATATTAAAACATTTATGGAAGCGCTCGTAATAACAAGGCATACAAATTTTTGGAATGAGTCAAATCCAAAATTGGACACCACAATCCATAAACCATAGTGACAAACTCTAACTGTCTGATTGTAGTTTATGTCTACGCTTTAATTTTTCATCATCGAAAACCGTTATTTGGAGTT